TATAATGATAAATCAAACACAAGCTTTGTGCCTAGGCCCTCAGTCCTTGCCCCTTGGCTCTCTTCTTCGTCTTCACACACCCAGCTATGACAATTTTGTTACAGTTTATCATTTCACAATTTCCCGTTGCACTGTTTGTTGTTGTTGTTGTCATTATTAAATTTTTATTCCACCCCTCATTTGCAGATCCCAGGTTTGTTCGCAACATAAAAACCACAAAATACATAGTAAAAATAAGAGCAACAATAAACCAATGGTTGCCCCTCTCAAAACACATTTAAGTTTGCAAATTAAAATATGGGATCAGAATGCCAAGTTCGCACTCATCTCTATCAGGACTGGCAGAGGAATATAAAGAACAAGAATTTTTTTTTAAAAAACCCCAAAGGTGATTATATATATATATATATATATATATATATGCATAAAACAAAAACCAAACCTGTAATTTTAACAGCATCAAACCTTCAACTATGAATGACTACACTTGTGGAATAGCAAATATGGCTTTCCAAAGCATACAAATTACGCAAGAGTTATATATATATTCTTGTTCTGTAGACTAGTTTGATTCTTAGTGTATATCATCTCAAAAATTGTCAATCAAAAACATTTGGAAAAAGACTGCCAGAGGGAAGGGGGAGAGCATGTGAGCACAATGCTTATTCTCAAGAGTGAGATTGTGATGCCTAAACCAAGTGACTCTTTCCATGAGCTGTCTGGGAACCTCACCTTTAGTAAATTTAGTAAATTTGTTGGTACTTTTTTACTATAAAAATGTCTTTTTTTTCTCAGCTGGAACTCACCAGAACTCAGTTCTGACACCTCTCAGGTGGTTCAGTGCAGATCACACTTGTACATAAAACAACAACAACATTGTTTCTCCTGGTGGAACTCATGTACGGTGTTCTGTTCCAGGTGTGTGGGAGCAATGAGCTCACGTTGTTTTTGCAAATAGAAAAATGGTAGACAAGAAAAGGGCTTATTCATACTGAAATCTCACTACTTCCACAAATCTGTCCTGAGGATTAATTTTAAGGTTGCTTGCTCACTATCCCAGACATCACATTTTCTGTTTCCTTCGTAACAGTTGCACTCTGAAGTGCCAGTTCATCCGTTTTGCCTGGTGTCTGATTTCAGATGTAGCAATACTCTCAGTGACTTAAATGCAGGTGCCGAATCTTAAGCGGCACATAAGTAGGGCCATTTATTTCAATAGGAGTACTTATGTCCTATTTAGGATTAGGCACCTGCTGGAAAACTTTGCAAAGTCAGAGCCAGAGTGATTGCACACATACAGACAGTAATTGGTAACAACAGAGATTATGGCAACACATAGAAGCAGGTACTCCTGGGAACCATTTGACTTGCTTATGCTTTAATTTACCGTACTTCTGATTACATCTAGATAAAGGCGACAATCCTGCAAAGGGGAAACCCAATATGCTGCTGCAGCTTCCCAGGTGTTGATTAAGGGGAGCAAATTTGCCTGTAGAGTGAAATACAAAAAACAAAACAAAACCATACCAAATGGCCGTTGCAATACATTGGTTCCTTCTGAATGGTCATAGGCAATCATTGCTACCACAATCTCCAAGTGGTGCAAAACTCCAGGAGTTCCAGGCGCTTACCCAGGGTTCAGTTTTCTTGGAACAAGGGACAGCAGAGACTGTGGTGCCTTTCGGATAAATGGTTTATTTTTACATTTATATTTTCCTGAACTCACAAGTGGGGATGGAGGCTCGCAGTATTAGCACCCCAAAAGGCCTTGCTTCTTCCATAGTCAAAGCCTTGGATTCAAGCAGAGATCAAGCAAGGCACACAAAGGGTTTTCTCTTTATCGCTACTTGCCAGCTGAGGGAGGGAGCCCACCCATTTGTCCTCTGGCACAGAGCAACTTTCTTTCTTATACGAATGACCCATGAGTATGGACCATTGTGGCCATTGCCTGGCTAATATAACAGTGGGATACTCCATTAGCCTTTAATCCTTGCTGGATCCAGGTATTAGAAAGGACTCAAACACACAAATACTCACCCCTGAGGTTGTATGGCCTGAGTCTCTATCAGAGAGAGGTGTGGGCGGCACATTTAGCCCCTAGGGTTAAGATTCTCCTGTCCTGCACTACTGGCTCCCACACCATGTATTAAAACAGACCCTTCTTCTTTGCCTAGAACGGCTATTGGAAATCAAGCAATACCATTGAAGTATTAATGTTTATGTCCCTTATAAGTCACACCTTCTTCCTCTGCAGCATTTTTAGGAACATAATTGTTATGTACTGAAGTTCTCACCCTGGGCCAGCAGGGAGGTACTACTCAGGTCCACATATGCAAATAAGGGATTGAAAGTGACGTTCAGTGATTGGATAGTTACAGAAAGTTGTTACAGTTGCGTTGTACTGGAGCTCTGTATAAGGAGGCTGGCTGAACCCTTCAGTTCAGTTCTGTTCTGGCCTGTGAATAAACAAGAGCTGTTTGAAGAATCGCTGTGTCATCTGATATGTTCACCCACAACTTAACAATAATTATGATGAATTTTTCATTCTTTACCTTGTTTATGTCATATATTTCCAGCTTCTCCACAGAAGACGGTTATCTGGGCATTACAGACAACTGAAATTACAACCATTTAACTTATTTCTTTTCCTGGAATCATTAAAATAAATTTCATAGTATGTCTTTAACTACTGCAGTGAAGCACTCCGTCAGGAAACTATCCTCCAGTTTTTCAGCTAGTGTCTGGAGACTTGTTAGCTGAATGGAGATTCCTTCAAGGAGAATAAAACTGTGTTGATAAGACTCGAAATGGACACAGAATTCTTTGCAGTTCAGTTTCTCCTAAAGGTGTCTACTTTATGATGGCAATAATAATGATAATGATGCTATCTTGTTCTTGGCTTTTCATATTATGTTTAAATTTTACTGATTTTATACAGAAGCATAGCTGTGCCTTCCTCCTGGCAGTCACCTTAAAAAAGGGCAGACTTTTATTTTCTGTCAAAGGCCATTGACCCACAAGTTGGAGGAAAGAAATCAATGGGAGACAGCAGACAAGCGTTAATTAATTACATTTCAGGGTAGACACTGGCTGCATTCAGGCAGCACTTTATTCCATTTGCTCCAACATTTCCTTACCTGATAATTTCCACCTTTTATGTAATCTTTCACACAAAACCCACTTCTGGAAATCTAGCAGAATCTAGTGGAAGTTTAGTGTACATTTCTGTAAAATCTGTTTGCAAACTCGTTAACCTGGAAAATTGTGGGGCAAAATTGCAGGCAGTGTTCTGGCATACAGTTCTTTGCTGCTGATTCACCCATCTCAGGGGGAACAGAAGCACACATGCACAAAAGAACATGTTCAAAGATGTCTGCTGTTGTGTTATGCCATGGCGACCTCTCATGGCTTCCTAGCTCAAGGAGATCTGGACAAAGAAGCTCTTGGACCCTAAGAGCCTCATTCACTTACTGATTTGCTGGCAGATGACAGGGCCTTTTTTGGCAGCACTCTCAGGTTTGTGGGCAATTTTGGCATTACTGCCAGACTGAAATTTGGAAGAGAGATGGAATCATCAGTATAAGGTGAACAGCAGAGGGTACCATCCTCTAGTTCTCAGTGTGTAGGGAAAAGTGTTGCAGATCAAACACTTAAAGTTGTGGTCCATGGTTTTCCCATTCACCAATGTTCCATCATTCCAGAGTGTTCATGGTGTGTTGCTGAATGGTTTGTCATTCTCAGCTTTTGATGGAGATTTGCAGCTGTTGGTGCTGCCTTTTGTGGTGCTGGCTTGCCAGTTAGTCTGGGTGGACTAATTAATTTTTATTTTCCTATTAGCCTGTGTGCATGAGACAAGTGGTGGTCTTTCAATATAGGGGGAGGAATTATTAATATCATCAACATCATCATCATCATTTACATTATTGCTATTATTTTTGCAATAGATTGCTATTAGATTGACTGGTTTTAGTTTGGCTCTTGTACTGTATATAATACATGATATATGTATATTTGTGGATGTATAGTTTTAGTGAAAATTCTATTGTTGTTTATCACTTTGTAAGGATTTTTATTCTGAAAGGTTGAATGGAAATGTTTAAATAATAACCAAATGAATGATTAGTGTTTGGAGGTAGGTTTCTGATCACTCAAGGTGAACAGATTTATCAATTCTTTTATTCAGCGTGAATAGAAATGTCACTCCATTGATATATTGTGAACTCATCAGAGGACTAAACCTCTGAACAACATCTTTCATTGTGTAAAAAAGCACATATATCTTGCTTTCTGCTTTTGAAACTGGCCATAGCAGTGGCAGTAAAGTGCATTAAAAATGTTTCATTAACTATAGAGAAATGTTCCTCTAAAGTGTTCTGGGTTTTGATTTTGAAAATGTGCACAACTTATTGAATATCATCTGTTTCCATTTTAAAAGCAAACACTGGAAGACTGCATTTAAGTCCCTGATTGTTGAACTTTTTCTTCTCAGACCTGTTGTGCCTTTTGCCAGAATGAGAGAGAACATATGCTTGTTGCTGTGAAGATGCTAAACTTGCTGGCCTCTGAGGAGGGAAGTGAGGACACAGGGAGTAGAATAACCTTATGGTGATTATGCAAATTAAATGCACACAACCTATCAAAGTGCAGGGAATTGCATGAGGGAGGAAATATTTAGTCATGCTTCAGTAACTGTATAACATCCTGCATGCTGACTGGCTAAAGCAACCCCGTTTTTCATATAAATTTGTTTAAATGCCAGTGCATTCAGATATCTCAGGATGACCCAGCGTCATTAACTTCCACCGAAAGGCAATTTATAGAATCAGTGGCAACTCTCCTGAATGTGCCATGGTAGCATGATAAAAGGCAATCCACAGGAGTTGACTTGGTGGTTAGAGAACAAAAATAATTGCCAGAACTTAATTTCTCTCCAACCCTTTCCTTAAACAACAACAACATTTTTATTGGACAAATTTGACCAAGGAGAATATAGGAAGAAGATGAAAGAAAAACACAGAGGGAAACAACTGAAAGAAAAGGCAACAAGAAAAGAAGTCAGAGAGAAAAATTCAAAAGTGGAAGAGGAATGCATTGCCTTTCTGGATCATAGTGAAAGTGATGAGGATTTTGATCTAAGCATGCTTCCAGACCTTGACAGATATACAGACTCTGACCAAGAGGCTGATCCAGAAAGCCATGGTGGCTGTGGGAAGAACAAACAACCTTCTGGTGGAGGCGCATCAGCGGTAGAAACAGCACCAAGAAGAAATAAGATCAAACTCAGCAAAGAGGACTCGTTTGCAACATTAGGTACAGGCTTTTCCCTTGTGGAAGATGAAGCACTAGTATTACATCTGCTCAACAACCAAAGTTAATTTTTCCCCTTCCCACTCTTATTTCAAAGCTGTTTTTGTCTTTGTATCTGGGTGGTATATAAATTCTAATAATAATAATAATAATAATAATAATAATAATAATAATTTTCAGAATATTGTATCTAATGCTGTGACCTCCAACCCTTGTCAGCATGATCAATGGCTAAGGATGATGGGAGATGCAGTCCAAGTCTACCTAGAGGTCAACATGCCAGTTATCCCTGATGTAGCTCAGGGTGTCTTGAGCACCCTAGGGTCTTAGGCAAAGGTCTATTCACATCACCTATAACTGTAAATGCCAGGGAATGAATGCAGGCACTTCTGCATTCAAAGTATGTGTTTCCGTTCTGAATTACAGTCCCTTCCCCTATGCTTTTTACATCATGTCCAAAGCAGGTATAGGGAACATGTCCAACCATGGGAATGTGGGAGCATCTTCAGGACAGAAAAAGGGTATACAGGGATCCAGGTTTTGAATGTAGTCCATCCAGAACAATCCATCACACGTCCATTGTACATTCCTGCTCCAGAATCGAAAGAGTTGCAGTCAATGTACAGCAGGCAGATGAAGCTCTTAACCTTAATTTCACCATATGGAGAGAGCTTAAGCAAGAGTATTCGGTCATGTAAAAGTCTCACATCAGGAGTCAGCAAACCACACAATATGTGGGAGAAAGGAAGAATGAAGCCTTGTCAGCTTCACTTGCCTGCATTGGGCAACTAAATACGGTTAAGGTACCTTGTCTCTCTAGTGCACAGCACCTCTTTCCTGTTAACCAAACTCTCAGTTTATGAGCTGTTTACTTTTCACATTACATCACAAATAACATTTCCCTGTCATATTGGGTTAGTGCAGGTAGTAAGATATCAAAGCAAGATTTCATTTTAGGGGATAACAGGGGACTGTTTATACAAATACGTACATAATTTGATTTCTGTGCACCTGGATTCTGTACACTTGATGTCTGGTGGGAGCTGAGTAAGTGAACCGATTCCATTAAAATGTGCTGCTTTGGAGGTAACGTTCACATTCTATCAGGGTGTCGGATCTCTAAAGGCCGGTTCACAAGTACAAGCCATTACTGGATGTTGCACTCCCAAATCATACTTCTGTAGGGCAATTTTTGCTGCTTTGGAGGGAAAGGAAAAAATTATAGGTTGTTGTGGATTTTTGTTGTATTTTTTTTAAAATAGAACATGCTCAGTGCATGTGAGTTTTTAATAACTTTACACACACTTTTGTAGTGGCTCCTGAATCACCACTGCTGCACAGGGCTGAGATGATGCAGACCTTCCAAGTGTCCCTATTTCCAGGGACGTCTCTGATTTAGAGAAACCGTCCCAGTTTCTTATTTGATTCCTGAATGTCCCACTTTTCCTTAGGAGGTCCCTATTTTCATTGGAGAAGTGTTGGAGGGTATGGAATTATCTGACCTCCAAGCTATCTGAAGAAGGCAATCCTGTATAGGGAAGGTTTTTTTAAAAAATTGTTTAATGTTTTATTATGTTTAATGTATGTTGAAAGCTGCCCAGAGTAGCTGGGGCAACCCAGTAAGTTGTGTGGGGTATAAATAGTAAAATTATCACTATAGAAGGGGACATCCCTATTTTCATCAGAGAAATGTTGGAGAGTAAGTTGGTGGCCTGCATACACACTATTCATTTCAAGTATACTCCCTCATGTGGCAGAAAAGAAATGGGAGAACATTGCATTTTAGGTACTACTGTGATCATCTTTTTTTTAAAAATGGAGAGATTTAAAAAAGAAACCACCCCCTCATCTAAAAATTAACTAAGACAAACAACGCCCCCCCCCCGCACACAAAAAAAATCAATGAAATTTCTCCCCCTTCATGCCAGTCTGCAGGGACATTTCTCTTTCCCCTCAGCAAAATGGTAAAATGGTCTGTCCTATAGTTAGATAGATATTGCAAATTCCTCAGTCATGTTGCAGTGCAGCTGCATGCCTTCAAAAAAATTTTTAATTCCCAAATAGAACAAAATGTTTTATTCCACAACATGCTTCCTTTAGTTTAGTTTTCAGTGTGACACATTCACACTTTATAAAATTAATTGGCTGATTTCAGCATAGGGGGAAAGGATATTGTTATAGACATTCAAATGTCAGACACTTTACCGCATATAATTGCTTACGTGGAGGAAAGGAACTATTAACATTGCTCGACAACAGAATTTCCCAATGTCACTTGTCAGTTTACAATACAGAGAGGTGTTATAAATCTGAATGAGAGAATGATATTCCCCAATGTGGAAAATGTCAACGGGATCATAATCAGCAGCTGTAACATACAGTACACAAAGTTGAGCATTGTGTTAATCTTACTTGAATCTTTTTCTTTAAGTAGATTCCTCTAGAGATTCTAAGATAAGAGGATGAGACCTGATAAAGAGGTTTGGGAGCTGCTGTTCTATACTGACACCCCCACCCTTCCAAAAATGATAACCAACTAATCACTGAAAACTCCAGCGCATTTCGCAAAGCCTTGATCTAGCTGTTACGGTGTGCACTTTGGGACGATGAGGAACTGACTGTATTGACTATTGTGTTGCCCTAAATCAGAGGTGGCGTAAGACCTGCTCCCATCATCATTTCTGAAAATGCTTTGAAAAGAGGTGACTTATCCATTGTATTTGTTGTGGGAACCCCAGACCTCCAAAATCAAATAATTTATCTAAAGAAGGTGTTTGATCCAGCAGAAGGATTTTGCCAACTCCTGCCAACTTCCTGCGTCTCCCTTCAGCTCCCACACTGTTCTGCAGGGTCTCCTATTCCTCCAGAAAAATGTGGGAAGTGGCCTTTGGGGCTGCAGGAGGAGGGAAGGTTGGTGAAAATCACCACCTCTGTCTGCAAAGACTTGATCCACCCCAGTGTAAGTTTGACATACTGTGCCAGAAAAATTAATATACCTTTTTTTTTTTTTGCCTGATGTCGCTTTCCAGAAATTAGATGCATTACAAAATGCACAAAACTTTCCCTTTAGCAATGGTTAATGAGATAACGATTAATTTCCTCAAGATAGACAAGGCTGGTTTGTTTCTTTTTAATAAAAAAAAATTACATTTGTACCATATAACCTGCTTTGGATGACATCTATTAATATCACGAGTGAAAAATATAGTGGTTTAGTTGTAAAATATTTGTAGCACCTTCATTGATTGGTTAAGTTGTGACAGTTTGCTGTTTTACATAAGGATATACTGCTGGAATAATAAATTTACCGAGTGCTGCAAGCAGTCTCAATGGCAGTTTATTCATGAGTTTGTTTATTTTTTAGTAAACATTTCACATGACATCAAAAGATAAACTTACAAAGCACCATTTAAGAATTATTTTACAGTAGATAGATTCACTACTAATATAAGCAACATGGTGTTCTGAACATGGTCTTTTGGTTAGTATCCATCAGTATCTTCCACTGCTTGACTGCTATTCCTGACTCTTTGGAAATGAAAATGTGCTAGATTTCTGCTCTGTGACATGTTTGTGTGTTTTATCTCATCAAGTTTATCTTGGATTACAGTGTACTTTGGAATTAAATCACCAGGTTTGCTAATACAAGGACCATTTGCATTCAGCCTATCTGAATTTTTGAAAATTTAATGGATGCACAAAATGCCATATAATCCACTCATCTGGGTGTTGGACAGGATGCAAAATCATCATCATCATCATCTCTGAACTTTTCCTTTAATAATTAAATGGGTCTAAATAGATGTTAGCTAAGTCAGCCCATTGCACCTTCTAGCTCAGTTTTGTCCACCCGAATAGCAGCCGGCAGGGCAGAGTGCAGTTGGAGGGATTTGCTCACTGGGCCTCACAATTTGGAGGTCACTGCCAGTAACCAACAGGTAGAGGTGGTGGGAAGGTTGGTACCATGCAGGATAGGTAAAGGTGGGGAAGGGGACGCAGGTGGCACTGTGGTCAAAACCACTGAACATCTTGGGCTTGCTGATCGGAAGGTCGGCAGCTCGAATCCCCGCGATGGGGTGAGCTCCCGTTGCTCTGTCCCAGCTCCTGCCAACCTAGCAGTTTGAAAGCACACCAGTACAAGTAGATAAATAGGTACTGCTGTGGCAGGAAGGTAAACAGTGTTTCCATTCGCTCTGGTTTCCGTCATGGTGCCCCGTTGCACCAGAAGCGGTTTAGTCATGTTGGCCACATGACCTGGAAAGCTGTCTGTGGACAAACACTGGCTCCCTCAGACTGAAAGTGAGATAAGTGCCACAACTCCATTGTTGCCTTTGACTGGACTTAACAATTCAGGGGTCCTTTACCTTTACCTTTACCTTTACCTTTACCTTTACCTTACTATGCAGGAACAACAGCAGAGTCAATCCATGAAGCCAGTCCTGAAGTGTTTCCTATGCTTTTTGTTTCCTTGTATAGTCTGACCAGGACAATAGCCTGCTTTCAGGAATTCAGTAGAGTAACACGTGCAATGGTGTGGGATATTTTATCCCACTTCTCTAAGTGGGAGGGGAAAGGGAGGCATGGGATGCTTAGGCCAAACACCCAGCTGTTTTTAAGGTAAATCGCCAATAATGGATTTTCCAATACATTCCCCCCCCCCACCCAGGCACTGCTTCTGACTGCAGTATTCCAGCTACGTACAGGATATTCCAGATGTATGGCAACCCTACCTGATAGGAAGTGGGACAGCATCCTCTCCCATCCCAACTGAGCTCTGTTCCATCTATGGAACATCTACAGGGAGTCCTATATGCACAGAGATTTAGCTCCACCCTTTTCCAGGGTTCCTCATCCCACAGAGGCCCTAGGCTGCATACAGCTGCACAACTAGTTGTATACAACTAGGGCCTCCCTACAGATACTACGATGAACATTTTTGAGTCAGGGCTCAGGCTTCCTATGCATGTTGATTGTGTCCTTGTGAACACCTAAACAACACTGATCTAAGGAATGGGGAACCCATTGCAAGCCAAGACTGAAGCCACTGCACCAAAACCAGGGATGGCTG